CTTCCTGGCTTTTAATCCCCTTTCTTCTGCTCTTCCTACCTGCTACTTTGGGCGTCCCTGAGTTGTCTCTCCTCACCTGTAACCCTGGGGCTGGGGCTTTTTAAAATATCATCAGTTAATTCATTGTGAAAAGCTAGGTCTGACAGTGTTGCCTCTGTATTTTCTTCCAAGAATTTAAAGGTTTTAGTTTTCATTAAAAGTTGTCAGTTTTAGGTCTTGAATCCATTTTTTTATTTGCTTAGTTATTTTGAGGATGGTGTGAGGCAGGCAGTGGGAAGATTTTGATGAAGTAAAAATCAACAGGAATATGAAGCCAAATGGATACAGTAGGGGTTTCTAGAAACGTCAATTTGAGGCTATTTCCAGGTGGCATGACTAGAATGAGAATAGGTTGAAATATAAAAAAATTCCCATTCTTGAGAAAAACATAAGTTCAGTTACAGACTCATGTTGAGTTTGGGACAGGTCATATCCAGTCTAGTGGATATAACTGAACTTCAGGGTGATGTCATTGCTGAGAATACAAATGTGAGGTTATCAGCAGAAGGTATGGGCATTGGGAGAATGGGATTGTACTGGGAGAGTGCACAGTGAGAAGAATGGAGAAATAAGGTCTAAATCTTTGGAATACTGACACTGAAGAGAGTTAGAGAGGAGCCCGTGAGGAAAATGAAAAGGAATGGTCAGGAAGGTCATGGATAAAGATCAGAGGAGGCCCATGGAACCAGATAACTAGAGTCAAACCTCCTGTTCTGAACACCAAACTACTATGCTATGGTTCTAGATGATGAAAGTAACCTGAAGAAAGAAAAACAGCCTTCATGTATAGATATTCACTCATTCATTCATTCATCATCCAGATTCTTAAACTCAGTCCATGCAGATGATTTGTGCATAGCCCCAAGTAGTGAAAAATATACTGAATGGGAGCTAAGTTAAAATTGCTAATGATATATTGGTGTATCTAAGGAAAGGCCCTGTGGTCAGAGAATTTAGGCATCAAACATTTACCACGATGAGTGCGACCACAGACAGCGTGTAGTAAATCGAATCTCTCAGCAGGCACCAGGAAGAAAGAGCCACAACCTAAAGAAAAAGGGGAAACACAAAAAGAAATAGGGCATCAGACTATGCAAATGAGAAACCATGAGTCTTGCAGGCTCTCTCTCTGTCCAAACCAAGAACACAACCTGGTATTTCTTGCCTCTTGTTCCTCGACCCAATCAATCTGCCAATCAATGAATATTGATAGCTTTTAGGCAGATTAATCTGGATTTTCTCAGAAGCATATGCCAAGATGGATTAAGCCTGCAACAATTTTATTAGGGGAAACACCCATGAGAGAGGACAGGAGGTTAGCTGGAGAGGCTGGGAAGGTGGTGGTCTATAATGCGGAACAAGGGAGAAGGGAGGTTGGGTGGAAATGTCCTGGGCTTCTGTGCAGTCTAAGGAAGGTGCAGAAAAGCTGAAGGGAACCTTTGGTGCAAAGTCATCATCAGAGGAGTCTTATGTCTCCTAGGAACAGGCATGCCTCCATATGCACAATGTCAGGGGTGAAAGGTACACTTTCCTTGTGCCTTTGTCAATGACTCTTAATACCTGTCATATGCATGCTGCATTCTTTCATGGACTGAGCTAGCAAAGCTGAGCATATAAGCCATTCTGCAGTTCCTTGTAGCTCCTCTCACCCACCCTATCTATGCCTGGCCTTATTGGCACATGACCCTTGGTTTAATAAAAATTTTTAAAGGACTGATCTGTATACTGATTTGGAGAAATTGTTATTCTTTGTAGCTGGGAAATGCCTGTTTAAAGAGATGCTGCTCCCTGAGGTCAAAGGCATTGCTAGAGTCTAAGCCATCTTTAGTGTTTGGCACACAGACCTTTCACAGGAGGAAGGCAGTGGAGCCAGGGCTGAACCTCACATGAGGGGAGGTCATGGTCAAGGTAAGGAGTGGAGACACCAGATAAAGACCTCTGTTCCAGAGAAAAGTCAATTCTCCTTGGTAAGTCCTGCTATGTACTCTTGAGGGATACATACTATTTTTTCCCCCCTTTTTTACTATTTTGCTGAGTAGTTCTAATTTTGGCAGATCTGCACAAAGAAGGCTTGGGATAGACCACAGTGCCATGGCAGAAGGTGATTCCCGGGGTTACTCATATTTTTCTCCCTTCTCCTTAGAAAATCTCTCAACTACCCAGTGATCACAAGGCAGGGATCTGTCTGCCTTTGTCCTTGGCATGGTGAATGATAAAGGACACAGTAAATGTCATCTCTTAGCCAGGCTTGTGAAAGGTATACGCTGCACCAAAGGCAATAGGGAAAGGGACTCTTATGGACAAGGATAGTCTTTCTTGCCTCCTCTCTATCCTGCTGTGACTGTCTAAAAAGAAAAGATCAGGAAACGTCAAACAAAAGAAGGTCCCTGGATTCAAAAAATGTGAAAGATAGGACTTAAATAGAACCATAAATGAATAATGAGGCCAGTCTCTCTCCATTAACACATTCTCCCCTTGTTATATGGACACTATTGCTAATTTTGCCTTGCTAGGGTCTGTATTTTCAGATCTAAGTTACAGATGACAGGATTTTCAAGAAAGGGAATGATATCACAAAAGTCATTTTAGCACAGATATATTCTTTACCCTTTTATCATTCTCTCCTTCTGTTGCAAATTCTCAGAACCTGTGGTCGTCACTCACCATTCATGGAATAGATAAAATTATTTATTTTCCATCAGGTCATAAAAAGTTGTGGATATTTATTCAATTTACTACAATTGTGTATAAACAAAAAAAAAATCAAACTTAATGCCATCAAGTCAGATCCAACTCATAGCAACCCCTCCTTGGGTTTCCTAGGTGGTATCACTACAGAAGTAGATTGCCCAATCTTCCTTCCGAGGAGTGGCTGGTGGGTCTGAACCTCCAGCCTTCTGGTTAGCAGAAGGTACTATGCCACCAGAGCTCCTACAAATATGTGGCCAATACCAAATATAAATTTCTTAAAAAAAAGAAAAGAAAAATCACTAGAGCTTTTAATTAAAGATGGCAGATTGAACATACACAATTACCCTTTTTCTTTCTTATTATACTACTAGGTAATAAGTTTCTTTCTTTCTTCTTATTTAAATTTTTTCTTTAACCAAGATATAAATATACAAGGCAAAGAGAATAAAACATGTGATATTTGGAACTCCTTTGCAGGGAAAGATTTTTGTTCCAGTTCTGAGAGTAGGACCACACATGAGGCCAATGAGTGAGTGCTGACCTGACTAAGAGGGGTCACTTGGGAGCTGATGCTGTCTAAGGCTTGGACCCTCACTGGACTTTACCAGGCTGGAGAGTGAGAAAATATGGCTCTCAGGGTAGTGGTGAGCATGTCCCCTGGGGATGCAGAAGCTGTGTGCTGAAGAACCGCCCCTCATCCTCATCTTAGGGTTAGAGACCTCAGCCTGAAAGATAAGAGACTGGAAGATTTATCAAATTAGACTGGCATCAGAAGCAGCAGAAACCCTAGACCCCATAGAAGGTAGAGCTGGGAGAAAATATCAGCAGAAGTCAGGAGAAGCAGAGGCCAAGCAAAAAAGTGGCAACAGAATGGTCTGAGAGGAGTGGTCTGAGAACTGTAACACACTTGAGACTGCAGGGGCAATGGAGGCACCTGAGACCACAAGCAGGTCCAGATAGCAGCAGAAGCCCTGGCTGAAAGCAAGAGATCCACAGGTGGTATAGGAGGCTTGTCCAAAGTGCTAGAGGGCCTCTCTGTGGCACAGAAGGCATTTTTCAAATTGGTCAGGGGCTTGCCTGAAGTATCAGGAGGCCTGCCCAAGGCACTAGAGGTCCTGTCTGCTGAGCCTGGGTTTATATACCTCATATAGGATTGTCTTTAAGACAGTTCTGCTTCCAGAGATGCTTGTCTAGAACTGAACCAGCAGCAAAGGGAGCTGGCCAGAATATGTGCCAGTCTAGTGATAGAAGAATAAACACTGATTTCTCACCATTAAAGCACAACTTAAGAATAAGCATTGATTTCTATGTACTGTTTGCTATATCTATACATTGACTGCTATCTCCACTCCATGTGCTAACTAACTATCTGGGAGTGTCTTATGTGCTCTGTCTCTGGTTGGATGGCTGTGATGTTTATGAACCACCTGTGAGTGCATCACAAATATGGTGTGTGCACACTGCAGGAGAGAAGACCACAGCAACAAAATTTAGGGAGCTAGAAAGCAGAACAACAACTGGTAATTCAGCTGGCCACAAGAAAAGCTCTAGAAGCTTGAGTGAAGAAGGGCTTGAAAACTGGATAACTGAAAGACTTTAAGAATTTAACTCCCAAGTTCCTTCCCTAACTTCAAACAGCCCAGTGACTGTCATCCCTCCCTGTAAGAGAACACAGGAGACCCCAATCTGAAGAAGAGAAACTTCAGAAAATAGAGAAAACAGAAGGGAGGAAATAATGAAACAATTCAAGAAAATTCCCAGAGATAGGGTGCATTTTCATAGTGAAATGGCTCTTTGTCTGGCACAATGGAAGTGAAAAGATGTACACCAAGGCACATCATCACAAATTTTTAGAATGCTGGAGCAAAGGACAGATTTTAAAACATACCAAGGAAGTGAAGTAGGTTTATATACAATGATCAAAAAACAGAATGACATTGTATTCTTCAACAAAAACAGTGGTAACTGAAAGAAAATGGAGAAATGGCTTTCAAATTGGGAAGGAAATAAATTTAATCTTGGAATTCTATGCCTAACTATTTATTGAAAGTGCAAACACAATGATAAAAATGAGAAAAATTATTAATTAAAAATGATAAAAAAATAATAGTTGCCTCAAAAACTTATCTTTTCTCAAAAAGCAACTAGAGGATGCATTCCCACCAAAATATGGGAGCAAACCATTTTCCATATGAAATTATGTGATAATAAACCATCATGTCAGGCAACTTGTTGTTGTTGTTGTTGTTGTTATGTGCTGTCGAGTCGGCCCCGACTCATAGCGACCCCTCCTTGGGTTTCCGAGGCAGTATCACTACGGAAGTAGATTGCCCAATCTTCCTTCCGAGGAGTGGCTGGTGGGTTTGAACCGCCAGCCGTCTGGTTAGCAGGCAAGTGTCTTAGCCACTATGCTATAACAGATGTCAAGGAAATTTCCAGAATTTTGATGAAAGTAGATTTAAGAAGTGTGGGGTTTTGGTTATTTCATGTGCTGCTCTAACAGAAATAACACAAATAGATGGCTTTAACAAATAGGAATTTATTCTCTTAAGGTTTAGGAGGTTAGAAGTCCGAGTTCAAAGCCAGCTCTAGGAGCTGGGTGAAAGTCCCTTTACCTTGGGCTTCAGCTTTGTCTCTTGCTCCAGGCCCACTGGAGCTACAGGTCTCTCTTCACTCAGGCAGCTGTTGACTGCTGAGGTTAACAAGCCCAAGGTTGACAAATAAAATGGCACAGTCTCAATATTACTAAACAACATGGCAGGATACTAGCTCAAGTCCAGAGACAGTGCTAAGATCATCAGGAAACCGACAAGCTGCTAAGTGAAGACTCAGCTATATGAATGGTCCAAGAATGCCAAAAGCTGCAGATCATTTCCAGAGCTTCTCCTTATATACTAGAAGCGACCACATCCCTACAGCAACTACTCAGCTGCTCATGGCAGATTCCATCATGGAATTAACTGCCAGCCTCATCATGGGGAATAACTACATCCCACTGCCCAGCCACTCAAAACCTGGTGCAGCCAAGTTGACACATAACCTTAACTACCATAGGTGGTAAAAGGAGATTCCAAAACGGAACTTGTGCAGCAAGTTCAGTGAGCAATCTGACCAGATTGATGCAGATCAGAAGAGTTTGGAAGAAATGACTTAAGAAAGGCAAAACTGATGAAATTATCTGATAATTTTGAATCCATTGAAAAGTGATTAGAGAACTTTGGGAACGGAACATAGAAAACTAAGCAAACAACAACAACAACAAAAGACACTTATAAACCACAGAGGAAGCACAAAGTTGTTTAGAAAAAGGAAAATGAATCATTATGTATTAATGGTTCAGCTTTGAATAGTGGGTC